ATATGTAATTATTCATTGACGAGAAAATATACTAATATGTCCCAAGAAATCTTGTTTTCTTGTAATTATTAATATTTATTATATAAACTTATGAGTTTAAAATGGGCTTTCTGGTAAAATGTTCGGCTAAAGGCCATTAAAATGTAGACTATAATATAATCAAAAGGTGGCAAATTGCTGCAAAGTTCAACTACGTATCTACATGCAAATTGCAAAGTCAAACCGTCGCTTGTTCGAGACATTTGTATAAAATGTTTTTGTACTCCAAACTTTCAATAACTCATTCTCTACTCAAAATCTTTCTTCTTTATTCTTTTTGGGGTCAAACTCTCTACTCAAATCTTTCGTTCTTCGTTTATTGGACTCTTTTCAATTCAATTTTGCATTACTCGAGGAGAATCGGTACTATATTACAAATATATCGTGTGGATCGTCTGTTGAATAAGAAAAGGCTTGAGTTCCCACAATACGACATATCATGTACACAAAGGTAATATACTTTATGTATCTCATGAGAGTTGCGTTCCAACAAATATATATTTTATATATCTGTTTCATGATTAGGCTGCATAAATCATTAAACTATCATTTAAAGGATATTTTTCATTTAAATGATATCAATGAATAGAGTGCAATAAAATTGATCTTGGTTGAGCTTTTGAACAAAAAAGATTTCAATATGATCTTGGTTGAGCTCAGAGAAAAGCTTAATACTAAAAAAGAGATATTTTGTTCGTTCATATATGATTCAAGTACAAAGACTGCATGTTTATGTAATTATTTATTTAAACAAACACAATTTTGTAGAATGAAAAATATAGCATATGCAAGTGTTAAATGCAAAGGTAACCATTTTATACGCCAATGAACCCGGCTTTTCGCGTTGCGTATTGTCCTAATTATCCATTATAAAATCATGATTTTCTCGAATAAATATAACAAACAACTCAAGGAGTTACAAAAACCTTTACTTTATTCTTAATGAACGTTTACCCCATGTGATATCCTCCTTATGTAATGCTTCTTCGCCCACAAATCTCACTTTATATATATATACTTGTGTTTCTCTTCTTCATCTTATAAACAAGCTCAAACAGAAAAGCTAACACCAGCCTCTACATTCATATTTATCTCTTGTTTTCTTCAGATTAAAAAGGTTTTGGATCCTGAGAAAATGGGTTTTATCCGGCCACCGGCGGTGAGAAAGGACGGTGACTATATAGAGAGCATATTCGGAGAATATTCCGCCGGAAAACAAAAACCAAGCCGGAAGCTCAACTCCACCAAGTTCGTGACGGTGCTGACGTTTCTTCAGTTCGTATTTGCCGTCTACGCCACTGGACTTCTCTACTACATGAGTCCTTCTATAGACTTGCGGGCCAAACCAGACTTCACTTGGGCCACTAAATGGGCCCATAATGTGCGTAGCTACATTGTTACCCCTCACGTCGTCAGCCATTTACAAGACTCTGCCTCCTTCCTAAAATCATCGGAGGAGAATATTCCGGCGGTGTTCTCTCCCGCGGAGGTTTGCGAGTACGAAAAAATCGACTTCTCTCAGAAGAAATCAAACGACGAGAAGATGATCAAGATGAAAAGAGAGCTATACGACGACGTCTTAGACTTCCAGAGGAAGAATCTCGGTTCCGAGAGTTTAACAGAGCTGATGAAAATGAAATCTAAATGGGCCTTAAACGGGCCTAACAAACCCAAAATAACAGTAATCCTAAACCACTTCAAACGAAAAACACTCTGCGCGCAGCTCGATTCCCTCCTCCACCAAACGCTGCCGTTTCACCACGTCTGGGTCCTCGCCTTCGGGAGCCCCAACGAAGCCTCCCTCCGCCGAATCTCCGGGAGCTACAACGACTCCCGGATCAGCTTCATCAGCTCGAACTACGACTTCAAATACTACGGGAGGTTCCAGATCGCGCTCCAGACGGAGGCGGATCTCGTCTACATCCTCGACGACGACATGATCCCCGGGAAGAAGATGCTTCAGATGCTCGCGCACGTCGCGGGGACGGAGAAGTACGAGAACTCGGTCCTCGGAAGCATCGGGAGGATTCTCCCTTTCCGGCAGAGGGATTTCACGTTTCCGAGCTATAGGAAGTTTAGGTCGAAGGAGGCGGGGCTTTACTTGCCTGATCCGGCGTATGATATCACGTTGGATCGGATCCTCCAGGTGGATTTCTTGTCGAGCTCGTGGTTCTTATCGGCTGAGCTTGTGAAGGCGTTGTTCATCGAGAAACCGTTCACGTTCGCTACCGGTGAAGATCTTCACCTGAGGTTAGTTTCGACTTTTCATGTGTTTACTAGGGAGGTTCGAATGTTTGAGTGTAGGACAAGGCAGTGTTTTTAGTTACTTGGTTATCAAGGAAGTGAAAAGTATTATAATAACCTAAAAGTTGTGTGCTCTCTCATACGTTTATAGGATGATGATCATCGTGAGAGTAATGGATTCACGTGTTTAGACAATGTTAGGTTTCATGATAATTATTATGGAGATATACTCTACAATAGCAGGAAAAAAAAAGTCCTAAATATAGTATTCAAAGAGAAAATTGAGTAAAATAACAGAATTTTAGATTAATTAATTAAGAATTAAGGTTTAGTTTTGGTGAGGGTGATGAGTGGGTTTTAAGGGTTGAGGATTATGAATTAGAATCTAGATTTTAGGATTCAGAATATAAAATTTTAAATAAATACTTTAATAATATTTATTTAAATTAAATGTTTTATTCATTAAATTTAGTTTAGTTTTTTTACTCTTTGATGAAATCTAATTTGATCATTTTCTTTCTTGTGATTCATCATATATATGATCATAAAAACTTGTTTTATGGTGTTTAAGAAAACTTTGTTCTGAAGTAATGATTTGTGTTTTGGCAGCTATCAGCTTCAGAAATACAGAAACGCAGGTTCTTTTGTTCTTCCTGTGGATCCAAATGACAAAGAGACGTGGGGAGATAGTGAACATAGACTCGCTTACGTCTCTGAGACCACAGTGATCTTCAAAAACATTGTCGAAGTTAGAGACAACCAATGGTGGAAAGCCCTTTCCACCGGTTACATAACTCAATGGGCTGCGATGTATCCTCAGAAGATTGACGCTCTGTTCTACGCGCATTCGATCGAAGAAGTCAAAGCGCTTGGTCCTTTGCTTGAGAAGTTCAGAACTACTGTTGGTAAAAAGGCTTACATCGCGGTTTCGGGCGGGAAGTTTTGTCCGTGTGAGGATGCTGCCTCGGCTTTGAACTGGCCTAAGGTGGTTTGCAATGAGAGGAGGTTCAAGATTTTTGATTTGGAAGTTGGAGCTATCTTGGGTGTGTCGAACTCTGAGGTGCCTGTGTTGCAAGCTGTGTATTCGAGTATGAAAGGGCTTATCAAGATCCATAACCCTAGCGTGGTGATTACGGTAGCTGATGCTGATCCTAATGTCAAGAAAGCTTTGAAAATGGCTACTGAGACGAATCTTAATGGCACTGCATTGGTTCTTCTTCCTAGAGCTTCTATCTCTAAGGTTCTGTGGATGGCTGATTTAAGATCAACAGCATTACCAAGTAAGAAGAAGGATCATTGCCTCTTTTTACTTTTCTTTTTTTGCATTTGCAATTTTGCTTACATGATATTTAACATGGTTTGCAGACTGGAACAAGATGAGAGTCTCAGTGAACATCATCACACAAAACCGAGCTCAGTCTTTACTAAGATTGCTTAGGTCTTTAAGCAATGCATACTACCTTGGAGACGAGATACCTCTCAGCTTCAACATGGATAGCAAAGTGGATGAAGAGACGATCAAAGTAGTGACCACATTCGATTGGCCTCATGGACCAAAGACCTTAAGAAGAAGAATCATCCAAGGAGGACTAATCCGAGCCGTGAGTGAGAGTTGGTATCCAGCTTCTGATGATGACTTTGGTCTCTTACTTGAAGACGACATTGAAGTCTCTCCTTACTACTACCTCTGGGTTAAATACGCTCTCCTCGCTTACCACTACGACCCTCAAATCTCCTTCCCTGAACTCGCATCAATCTCTCTCTACACTCCCAAAATCGTCGAGGTTGTTAAAGAGAGACCCAAATGGAACCCAACAGAGTTCTTCAAACAGATCCATCCACACACACCTTACCTTCACCAGCTACCATGCAGTTGGGGAGCTGTCTTCTTCCCAAAGCAATGGAGAGAGTTCTACGTCTACATGAACATGAGATTCACAGAGAACGCTAAAGAGAATCCTGTTCAGATTCCGAAATCAAGAACCAACGGTTGGCAAGCTTCTTGGAAGAAGTTTTTGATCGACATGATGTACCTTAGAGGATACGTTAGTCTCTACCCAAACTTCCCTAACCAGCAGAGTTTCTCAACCAACCACATGGAACCGGGAGCTCACATTGCAGCCAAAGACAATGTGGTGAAACACAACAAAACCGATTTTGAAGTTCCTTTGCTCATGGATGATTTCAGAAGCTTCTTACCGAATCAGAAACTCCCTCCAGCTTCAAAGCTTCCGTCGCTTAACCTCTTCAACATGCCGGTTTCTCTTAAAGGTCTTAAAGCTGCAGGAGCTAAGCTTGGTCAAGACGTTCTTCGTTGCAACAATGTCTCTGAGATTGTTGCAGTCAATCATCAGACAGGTTTACCAGCTAGATGCATGAGATTCTGAAGATGCTCCCATTTTGACGGCCGGTAATTTTTCTGTGGATTCTTGTTGATTCTTTGTTTTTTTTATAAAAAAATTAGTTATATATTACTATATGGTAGAAAGGAAATAAGTGTAAGGAGATATGTAACTGTCTAAAGGCAAAAGAGTAAACGTTTTGTAACCTTTGATTAACTCCACTTTTTCACTATAGTTCTTGAACTTGAAGTCATCACAAGAAACATGATTTGATTCTGATGAATACAATTTCTGTTGTAACCTTTCTCTCCAAAGCCATCATTAGAGACATGAAGGCCTCTCTCCATGATTTGATTTCATTTCATTCACAATGCTTTTGACCCAGAGTAGATGGCAAATCATCTTCATAACATAGATTCATCATACCAAGTCTCTTAAAAATCCTCAGCTAGAATAAAACACAATGAAAAAGGGATGAACATCTGATCAAACACAGAGACAAACAGACGTCTTACACATCCAAAATCAAAAGAAAACAAAAAGAGTTTGTCTAAATGTAGTGTTGATTAGCCTTCCTAAATAACCTCACAAGCAAAATACAAATTACACAAACGACCAGTTTACAAAGGAGAAAGCAAGACAATGCAAAGTATTATCATTGCCGTCGTTGTTTTCAGATGATGGAGCAAACACTTTCCAAGCAACAGCTTGTTCATAAGTCACATGTCTTCCCATCGTAGACAAACAGATTCCTGAAGGCAAGCATGCAAATCCCTGTAACAATTCTCAGACAAATTAGTCTCAAAACATTTACTTCTGACCAAAGAGTTTTATCTTTTTGTTTTTTACCTGTTGCATTAGCTTGGCGAAATCAGAGCAGAGAGCCTTTCGACCAGATTCATCAAAGATCTTTTCCAGTGTAATGTCTTGTAAGGCTACAAGTGTTGTCTCTAGCATGTCTAAACCAGCTTGGTTCGCGAACATAAACACTGGTTGAGGCTGCAAACATAACCAAGACTCATATTACACCGAGTACAGTTAAAAAAAATTTAGAATCTAAGGGTGTTTATCACGACACAAACCTTTAAAGAGCAACACAAGATGGCATCTTGGTGATCCCACAGAAGTTTCAACACCGAGTCATTGCTTCCCATCGAGTCAACCGTCAGCAACTCCGAGCCTAAGTGGTGACTGTAACAACAAACATTAGACGTTTAGACATCAGCATTACTTAGCTAGGGTTTTGTAAGAAAGAAAACTAACGTGTAGCTTTGCGAGATCCACTGAGCAAGTGTAACAGCTTCAGGAGATCCCGGGGACAGTTTTGAGCCAAGACTTGGGCTTATCCCAGACGGTGAGATGGCCATTGCAACACGTTGAACCGATGAGATCACACTCCTCACGTACTGGCAAGCCATACCAGCAACATTGTCTTGCAAGTTGTTTTCAAAAGGGAACTGAAACGCAATGGTGAGGATACACCTCGAGTTTGAGCTAGAAGAAGAGTTGCCAGAAGCATTCTCTGGTGTAGGACCAACTTCAAGGCTAGAAGTCAAGTCTAGTGTCCGGTGGTTTGCTGTTAACAGATCTTGAGCATCTCCCTGTATGAATGAAAAAAAAAAAAAAATGTGAGACTTAAGACACAAGGAATAACAATGATGAAGAGCAAAGATAATTAAGTACCGTTTTAGCATCAACGGGTATGACTCTGAATCCAGAAGGAACAAGTGGAGCATCATCAGGGAACATTTCGTTTATGGGAGCAAATATTAGTTCTGAACATGCTCCAACAGCATTCTCATCAATCCCAGTACATATCTTGTCATACACATCATTAAAGGTCAGTCTTAACTATGATGCTGTGAGAAATTTTTCAAGATGCATATTGTGTTAGAAAAAAAAATACCTGAAGAAGATGGACATCACGGGACATAAATGCATCTTCTTGTGCAAGAGAATGACCTTCTAGTCTAACAACTTCAAGCATCTGAATCATTTAACACCACCAAATACATTTAAATAAACAACACAAGAATAATGTTTTCTTCAGCAGATAAGACTTTGAAGCCTTACTTCTTCATGTTCGATGGTATGCCCTAGAGGCATTATGATTTGGCTCCCTGTGAACCTTGTAGGCCTCATTCCCGGATAAGCAAAAGAACCAGCTTTAAGAGTCGCAGCAGAATAAGCGTCAACATTGAAATCAGCCCACTCGGACCGGTGCTCTCTTAGAAACCGAATCAGGACCGCAGGAGGAACATTCTAACGGAGAAGACCACACATTACAAAGGGTCCAAAGGACACAAAAGTATCAAAAGTAGGTCACAAGTCACTTACTTGGAGAAGCATAGAAGCCTTGGCACAAAGCACACCTCCAAGGAAAGAAAGAGAATTAGACATATTATTCATATGCTTTGTGGAGTTAATAGCAACGATGATGTCTTCAGCGCCATCACAATGCATTGTAGACCATCCATCATCACTAAACCCATTCACCGCATCATTAAAACCCCTGCAAGAAAACACACCAAGTCCATGAAAATAAGTAAAGAGAGAACAAAAACATTTCAGCTCATGATCGAGTTACCTGCTTAATCTTTGGCTAAATGTTCTCAAAACAGCAGGCTGTCTTCCTAATCCATACACTAGTTCACCGTTAGACTCCTGAGCTAGTTGCCTGATATACCTCAATGCCTACAACATGAACAAAACCATTAGATATGCATATGAACCAATCATATCTCAAGGTTACTTTGTATATATACACTCACAGATATGGTCATTTTCTGTGCGACGACTTTAGATGACTCGTAAAGGGGTCGAAGCACATCAGGAACACTCCAAGCCTACAATGCAAGTAAACAGATTAACAATCAGTTCTTTTGGGGATGTAAGAAAGTTAACACAAGATGTACAATGAGAAGATCTACTTACCTCAAGATTAAGGTGATCAACAATGTGAATAATAGAACCGCCACCATCACAAGGCCTTATTAGATACCCACTAGAAAGCATTTCTGCTCTTACAAACTGAGAAGCTGAAGCAGCATTAGGACCAGCTCCAGAACCAGAGAGTGACCTCTCACAAACCTTTTTTTAAAGACACATGGAAAAACAGTCAATAACCAGAGAGATATACACAAACATAACACTATGAGATAGTTACATACCACAAAACTGCCATTGTCTAGACTTGTTGTGTATCTCAGAGTCCAGAAATCTCGGGCAGGAGCCAGAGTTGTTGGTGCATACGTCTGACCAAAAGGCATTAAACTTTTATTTAATTATCTTCAATTGTTAACATTATATAGAACACTAAACAAAAGAGAAAAAGGATCACCTGCATATACACGAGCTCAATGGTGCCGCCATTACCGGCAGGGAACATAGTGAAAACTTCAAGGCTCCTACAGTCACGGAACCAAGATGGCCTATCTTTGAGTATCTCTGCAATCTGCAAGAAGACAATAACACCAAACTGTTTTAACAATGTAACATGTTTAACTCTTAAGTCTGAATGGCCTTTTCTTTACCTTAACAGGTTCTAAACTAACAAGACCACAGGCTCGAGCTGCCACCCCACTGCATCTTTGCGAAATAGCAAAGATGCCAACCGAATCCGGACCAGGCTTCATCCCAGGCATCTGAACCCAATCAACAGCAGTTCCTGTAGCCTTGGATAGGAACTCTGCCAAAGTCTCCTCTGCGATCGAGAGCAGTCTAACAAACAAAGACCAACTCATTAGCCCCAAAGGAGAAAAACCAAGAAAACATCACTACAAAATTCACAAAAAATAAGCTTTACCCAGCAGGACTATTCGCGTCTCTAAGCGAATGCTGAGGAGTTGTTACCGCAGAATCACAGCTTGCATCATTTACCTGATGAACACACAACCATCAAGTCAAATAATTCATTCTTTAATAAAACATTTCAAACAAAGAAGTTTTATGAAGTTAACATACAACAGTAGTAGTAAGCTGCTGCTTCATGTATCCATTTTCACAGACAAGCTGAGAAACTTGCTTCTGCAATCTATCATTCTCCTCCATCAACAGTTTATTCATAGCCGAAAGCTTCCGGTTAACGCTCTGGAGCCTTGATGCTTCTTTCCTCTGCTTATCTCGACACCTACAGGGCACAAGATTAGAAAATCAGACAATAACAATAGTCACAAGAGCTTAAAAGGATCCAAATCTGGTCCTTCGCATCAAAACCACTAGACAGATTCAGAGAAACCCTTTTGAAAAAAACAGGAAACTGTGTCAGAGCAAGGACCAAACTCTTGTAAAAACCAACGAAGCCGGACAAAAGAACACTCCAACATAAGTGGTCCTTTTCATAAAAATCTAACTCCAAAGATTTGTGTTAGAAAGAAAAATCTAAATACCTCCGGTTCTGGAACCAGACTTTGATCTGCTTAGGCTCGATGTTAGCCAAGATGGAACACTCACGGATCAACTGTTGTCTCCGGAGAGAGCTTGGCTTAGGACACTCAGCATAGACACGCTCCAGAGCCTCAACTTGCTCAGCTGTGTACCGAACGTACTTACCGCTACTGTCTAAATGTCTGTTCATGCTATCACTGCTTCTCTCTCGGTGATTAGCCACCGCCATCTCCATTTTTTTGGACCACACAAACGTCTCAAAGTTCTTTTTTTTTTGTTGGTTCTTAGGGAAGTCCGTCTGGTTGTTTCTTAAGAGAAACGTAAATTGAAAGTCTTTTGTTGTTTTTGTTTTCAGACAAAGAAGATTCTATGGTCGTGGCTTGTAGCGCAAGACCAAAACCGACATGTGGATTCTGAGAATTTTGGATAAAAAGAACCAAAAGAAGTGAAAATAAACAAAAGTTTTTAAAGAAACAGAGAAGAGAAAAGAAAAGATTCAGAAGATCTGAGAATTTTGAAGATTCTTCCAGAGTAAAGGAGCAATTAGAGAGTTTGAACACAAACTTTCGGGAGAAAGTGACGTGAAATTCGAAACACTAACTGGTGGAAGGAAGCATTATCAGAATTGAGGACACATTAAACCTTTCTGAACAGAGATGTAAAAGATTATATAGGAAGAAGAAACCCAGAACATTCACTCAATTGGAACAATTGAAGCTAAAAGGTTTTTTCAAGAATATTGAGACAACTTAAATGCAAAATAAATAAATAAAAAGACAGAGGAGAGAGAGTAGTTAAGTGATGTGTGTTCGGTCTCTGAAGCTATTTTACAACACAGAGGGAAAGAAGAATAAAAGAGAGAGGCAAGAGAAAAATTGTGAAACAGAGGATTTGCACGCAAACCGACAAGCTGTGCATCAGCTACAAAAAGCTAAACTTGCTTGTGCGTTTTTTTCTTTTCTTTTTTAATTCATTTTATTTTATACGGCGTTCATTTACGAAACTGTCCTTGTTGTTTGTCGGAAATGACAATTTTGTAAGACTTTTTATTAGTTTGTTTATTTGTTTACCCTTTTTTATTTAGCCTTTGTTTAACTTGAATTGGTTGAGTAGATTAATCGGTTCATAATCGAGTTAATTTGCAAATTATATTATTTAATGCTATACAAGAAAAAAAAGACTGACTAAACTGGAACAAAATATTCTGCCAAATCTAGTTGGTGAATGGTAAGAATCTAAAGGAACAAAATGGAATACTATTTAACAATATCAATTATCTTTGGTTCTAGAAAGACTGAAGCAAAAACTAGTTTGTATACATTATTGTTCTATGACTATCTCTTCTATGTAGTGTGCTTCGTTGGGTTGTAACTGGTATTATGTCGAATTATATGTTGTAATATCTTTGTTAACAGATTTTAATTTTTAATTAGGCGATAATCGCACATATGCGTGGAATAAAATTTATATATTAATAATCGTTGAATATTAATTTTGATCGTCCGACCATTATGTCATAACTTTGACCGTGAATAAAATATTGATGAGTAGAATAATGTTTGTTGATATTTTTGATTTTTTTTTAAATCTATTTATATTAGGCTTCAATAATATTATCTGTATGTTAAAATTCATCAACTCATTTTGATATAAAAAATTGTATTTTTGAAATAATAAATTACTTTTGAGAACTGCACTTGCGCAGAATGAACACTAATTATGTCTACAGATCATTTATACATATTATTATTTATTTTTTGTTCATTTACGTATTATGCATTAAAAATATATTGAATAAGTGAAAAGTGAGTAAATATTACGTATATAGTTAAACTGGAATAAATATATAAATAAAAACCATCTCTCTTTATTGTTTTCTTGGTAAAAAACCAAAATAATTAATTATTTATTTTATATGGTATATAATTAAATTAAATAATATTAACAAAATTATATAATATATTTGAATATGAATATTCATTAATCGACGTTCGTACTCATAGGATTGAACTAACATTTTATATTTACTGTAACAAATATTATTTTTATTATATGAATATTTATTAACGGATGCTTCCTACTCAAAACAAATTTTAAAATTAACATGTTTATGTAATTTATATATATATAATAGATTTTTATTTATTCAGAATATATATTAAAGAGATTTTATATTTATATGATTTTATGATCATTTGTATTTTGTTATAACAAAAATTTAAATCATTGATCATAAAAATTGCAATTTTGACTTTTAACAATTTTAGTAATTTAGAATTATTTTTAAAAATAATCAAAATATAACATATAAGAAAAAATCTAAAAAAAATTATTATATTATTAATAATCTAATATGATTGTTTAATTTATTTTAAGAATATAAAATTGAAAAAATGATGGAAGATAAAAAATTGTTATCAAATTTTTATTATTCAAAATCATTAATTGTCATATATTTGTTAACCATATTAGACAATTCCATATCTTTTATTTATGGAAATAATATAAAATACTTTTTATACACTATCAATTAGTTGCATTGTTAGTTCAATAGAAAAACATACTATATATTGAGATGGACCAACTTATTTTTCTAAAAATTCTAAAAATTAACGTAGTGATGACACGTGAATACCAAAATATGTTGTAATGCTCTAAAATTAATATATAAGAGATTTATACTGTATTTAGTTTTGTTTTTTAATTTACATACTATCTCAGAAAATAATACAAAATATTTCTTTGAAAAACGCATGAGTAGTAATTTTAGATGAACTTATTTATATTCTTAGATTTGAAAAACAAAAAAACAAATAAATAAAATCGACTATTTTATTGTAGTTTATAAAATAAAAGAAAATATATATTCTTAACGAGTATGCCGCCAAATGATGAAAGAGATATCTAACTTTAAACATAACTTTAAAGGTAAAAGTCATAGTTGGATGAAAAATGGTTTTGACAAAAAATAATAATTAACTGTTCCAGCAGGAATGAAATAAAAACATCAAAACTCAAATTAGTACACAAAAGAATAAACTCGTAGAGAATTAAGGTGGTCAAACTTATGTCAGATCCAGATTCAAATAAGTACATCCACCAACTACGGGAATTTTAGTTAACTTGCTAGGCTTTACTAATACGAGGATGGATGAGGAGGATATCAAAGTTTTGAAGATACATTCATTAGATTTAACATAAATTAGATTTCAACCCACATAACTATGCAGGTATATATTTTCATGATCATATATAAATATTTGTTTTATGAATTAAAATATATATATTTTATGTTATTCACATATTTAAATGTTTGTATAATTATTTGAAATATAATAATTTTATAGTTTTGATGTTGTAAATTCAAATCATTACATATATATGTTTCTTTTTATTATATATTTTTCTTATTGAATTTGTGTTTGATTATTAAATTAATTACTTATGTATGAAACAATATATTTGAAAATTATTTTGTTTATAATTTCTTATGATCGAAATCCGTAATTCAAAACGCTAAATCAGCAATTTTTTATATTTATTCATTTTATATAATAACTTACTGTATATTAAAAAGTTAGATAAACTGACTTTTATACATGAATTATATAGTTTACGAATATTAACTCATTCTACGACCATATTATATTTTAGAATAAATATTTTATATTTATTAATATAAATACACTAACTTATTAATTTTAAAAACTTTATCATATTTAGTTCAATATAATAGTTTGCTTATAAAATGATGGATATTATTAGAAAATAGATAAATAGTATATAATTTTATTCTTTTCATTTTATAAAATACAGTTGAGTATATATATATATATAAAATATATATATTAGTGTATAATAACATTTCATAACTAATTATGAAATTCGTGAAAATCTTTATGTCAATTTTTGACAATTAAGATCTTGTTATAATCTTTTCAACAGATTTGCTAGAATATATATATATATATATATATATATTTAAATTAAAATTATGAAAAAAATTATGATTAAAGTAGTTAAAAATATTTTATATTATTAGCATTAAGGATATACATTTAATAAAAAATAAATTTTGGTCTAAATAAAAATATTACACATAAAAGAAATCCTGAATTCTATTTTAAAATAATATATATATATATATATATATTTAAAACAATTAAAACCAAAAAAAAATTATTTAAAACAAATATTTTAAAATTATTAGTAGAATGTATTTTGATTTAATCAATTTCATTTTTTATGAGTGAATATGATTAAAAAGATTGAATTTTTAATATTTGTTTATGAACCAAAAATAAATTTAATTTTAATTTCTAATTATATTTTGTGATAATTTAAAGTAAAATTAACTAATTTCAAAGTAAATTTTAAAAGATTATAAAGAGATTTTTTTAAAAAAATTCTAAAACATTTTAAATATATTCATTTATATTTCAAATAAAATGATGAGCCTCTAAAATTTGATATTTTTTTATATAAGATATTAAAATATATAATAATAAACTCATGTAAAATTTGATATTTTTTAGAAATAGATCCAAATTTAAAAAATTAGACATAAAGTGAAGTAATGATTTCTGTTTTAATATATAAGATGTATAATGTCCGTTTATACCATATAACATGATTTGTATGTATGGTAGGTATATATATCATGATGTTTTAATGGTATAGAGGCCACATGCTACAAACATAAATGGAATACTAGATTTTGACCCGCGCTTGAGAAGCGCGGATTTTGTTTTGGTTGTAACAAAATGTATCAAATGATTCGATTTCTGTTATATGATAGTTTTATATATGAAATTTGATGTATATTTAACTTTTTAGTAGAGTATTTTCATTGAGTTTTGCATAACCGAGTCAGTTTTTGGTTGAACCGAGAATCAGAAAATTAAATGTTGTGAGAGTATGAAGAATTTAAACAAATACTAAATTGAAACAAAATTGGATGGGTCCATGGCCTAATCCCTAAATCCTAAACCAGCGATTCAAAATCTACCAACCCACACCAGCCATACATAAAATACTCATAACCCGCACCCACCAATCAATTTTTCAAATTGTTTGTCCCGCACCTACCCCGGAGCGGGTCAAACGGGGCAGGTGCCGCGGGTGATGACTCATTCGCAGCCATACTTACATCATAAGCATTTCAGATTTGGACCTCACCTATAACAAAAAATAAATCATAAGCATTTGAGTAATTTCTTCTGACATAAAACATAAAATTGAAGGAGTGATCAAAACATTGAGTTAGTAGAAACATATTTCCAACTATATAAACAATGGTCATTTACTTCAAAATCGAAACAGAAGTTTTCATTTTCAAGGAATACCTCTATATTGCCCAATCTTAGCAAATCGTAGAAGACATATCACCATGCCTTATGTTTCTTGGCTAGCTATATGAAGATTCTCAGCAAATTTACCCCAAAGACAGCAAGTTACTCTCTGACCACTAATAGAATTGCATATCAAGTTATAAATCAATATGTTTATAGGCCTATATCTTATATAAAACTTATAAATGAAGATATCTAAATCATAAATCTATATAAAACGATAAACTTACATTTGCATCACAAATAATTAGTTCCATGGTCTCACATATGTCTTTCATGAAATGTCTCCATGTATGAAGAATTTTAACTTGGATGCGACCTACAGTCTTCCTCTCTTTTATATCGCTCAAGAAAGACAACTACAAATCATTCATCATTTTGTTTTAGGTTTTTCAAGGAATGATGAATATAGTGGTTAAGAGAGGCTATATTTATAATAGGTAGGGACGATATACATTTAGGTTACACAAATGTAGGGCAGGATATTTAGACGATTTAAAAAAAAA